AACTCTGTATTGTCTGTATTGTGCTTGTGATATGTTGTAAAATGTTGTATGTCTGTTAATGTTTCCCTCCTTTTATCTTTAAAATTAAAAAAAAAATTACTATTACAAATAATCCTACAATGAAGAGTCTTATACTTTTGGGAGTTCTTTTGAGCAACATGATCAAATTCTCTGGAGCAGATACTCTTAAAATGTGACCTGCAGTGTTCCCTTTCAGGGAACTCTAAGGGTCAAATTCATGTATCATACTCAGACATTACTTGGTCATTTCCATTCTCATTCTCTCAAAAGTATACAACAGCTTTGAATGAATTTTAAGAAAATAACTATATTTTCTAAAACAAAAGAAATTTGTGAAAAACAATATTTAGATTTTGCAAACTTCTTTACTGTCTGGCTTGATTTTTCTTCAGATCATGCATTGGTCAACTGTGAAATATTTGTTATACAGATTTTCCAAAATACTAACACATTTCATTATACAATATTAAAAACTACACTAAATACCACCATTAACTTGAAAAGAAAAATTATAGAGTAGTGGTGGCAGATAACATTTTTCAAAGTTCTGACTTTTGCTTGAAAGCTTGAATTTTATCCCTGACAACAAACATCATCAGTTGTTTTCTTTGAAGTAATAGGCACACTGTTTACATTTGAGAAACTAGCTGTCAAATAACCAAATGTTAGTAAGTGCCTGTGAATCATTCTTTCAAGTAACCATGATAGTCCATGAAAAAAATGGCTAGTTCAGCCTGCAATTCAGTTGCAAAAATACTTTTCCTTGAATTAATTACTCTATTCCGATATCCAGCAAATGTGCTTAATTTTAGGCTTCCCATTGCTGTCATAGAACATAGGAAAAGACATGCATTCAAAGGTCAAGTAATAAACGAAAGAATTTTTACTATCTAGTCAGGACATTATGAAGCAAAGTTTGCTTTTTGAACCTAGTGAAGAATATGATGATTATCAATACATTTTGGTACCCCCAATTTCAGCTAAGCCACTAGTAGTTTTACTCAGCATTGTTTTTCTGTCATTTAACATAAATGTTGACACAGGCAAATGTGTCATAGGCTCACCACCACTGGCATAGGCAATCTGACTCCAGTGTCTGAATTGTTTTTTTTTATTTCAAAGAGAATAAAAATAATTTTAAAAAACAGAAACGACACAGAATTTTGAAAAAACAAGATTATGAATTCAACAATGGTAGTTATATTGCATATTGTTCTCTTCAAAGTAGCTGTTCAGATTAACAGATATAAGCATGCAAAATTGGTCGAAAAATTAAGCATTAACTATTCCTTTCAATAAGCCAATAGAAATTAGTAGTATTATCTTAGGTGTCTTGCGTATCTCCCTTCCTTCCTTCCTTTCTTTCTCTTTCTCTCTTTCTCTCTCTCTGAGTCCAAACTCTTTTAGTAGTCCATACTACTATTACCATACATACTATTGCCTCTCCAGAATTCAAAAACAAGGTTTTTCTAAATCCACTATGCAAAAATATTTGTCAATACCTAATTAGTATGTCATGAAAATCGAGAGAAACAATGAAGGCTGGGCGTGGTGGTGCACACCTGTAATCCCACCACTTGGGACGCTGGGGCAGGAGGATCACTGTGAGCTCAAGACCAGCTTGGGCTACAAAGTGAGCTCAAGGCCAGCCTGAACTGCACAGCAAGACCCTGTCTCAAAAAAAGACCAAAAGAGAAACTATGACTGAAAAGTTAATCCTAATACTCTTTTATTCAGACCTTGATTTTTAAAATATATATTTCAAAAGACTATGTACTACACAAAGGCAGAAAACTTGATTATATACTAAGTGTGCAGTGACACAATTCTAATATAAGAGAAATATGGTAGGCTATCAAGGAACCCCTATAATTATAGCCCCACAGGCATACGGTGTAAGCATCATCTGAATCTCATTTAAAGCCATAATAAGAAAAAGAGCTTAGACAAACTAATAGCTTCCACACACTAAACTGCCTTAAGATAAGCTGTCTTATAAGGGTGTCTTCCCTAACATACCTTTTCTTGCTGCAATCTTAGAAGCAAACCACGTTGTTTCTTCCGCAGTGGAGGCATTTTATCATCCTCTCCTTTGTCTCGTAAATGTCTGCAAATATTTTTCATTGAGACAAAGATGATTAGATTTATAATTTTAAGAATTCTTAAGTATTGAACAGTATAAAATAATTTAACATTTTCATGTCAAAAATAGTTGCTATGTGCAGCAATTTCTTTCCCAAGCAAGTATTTTACTAAGTATATATAATATATGCAAGCCCTAGACTACATCCTTTAAAGACTGAAAGACTTGAGAGAGATAACTGAAAAAGAATTAAGTTTAAAACAGCAACAAAAGATGAGTCACGAGGGATAAAAAAGAAATGAAATGAAAATGTCATGTAGGTAGGAAGAAGGTGTTGAAAGTAACACAAATCAAAGATTACTGCCATATTCCTGGCTTGAGTAACTGGGACGATCAAATCAAATTTAATGAGAAACTGGGATGATCAAATCAAATTTAATTAGCATACACAAAACAAAGCCCAGGGTTCAATCCCCAGCACCATCAGGACAAAAAAGGAGGAAACAAAATTACTTTAAAACACAAGCGTTTCCTTTTATGAAAGAAACCACAGTGAAAACGACACTCACTGAAAGAACTTACTTTTTTTGATGCTCTAGCCAGGCTAATTCAGCTTTAGTTTTTTCCTTCAAGGCCTTTTCACGTAGACGTAAAAGTGAAGATTGGTGAGCTGCTCTCATTTCCTCTTCTTTCATATACTGTCGAACCATCTCCATTGTAAATTTAGAAAAGCTGTCTTGTTCTCCTGAGAATGGCATGCTCAGTTCCTAAAGTTTATTTCAAGTATGTCATTTTTGGTACTTAACTTCATTAAAAAGAGATATGCATCCACAGAAAAAATTATGAAGCCAAGGGAGGTACCACCCACTACAATAAGCTTTGTAATCCCAGCTACCTGGCAGGCTGAGGCAAGAGGATCATTTGAGAGCAAAGTTTAAGACTAACCTGAGCAACACAGTAAGATCCCATCTCAAAAATAAATAAAAAAACAAAATATCAGGACTGCCAATGTAAGAGGAACATTCAAAGGGCACATGAGAGGGATTAACGTTTATCTGTTAATTTATTCAACCATCACTGCAAGTCATGTACTCTCCCAGGGATACAAATTTGGGTAAGAATTTGTTCCTGTTATCCAAAAGGCACACAATTTGGAAAGAGTGAATATAAATTTTTAAATGGAATCAAATATTAAAAGAGTGAAACAAATTAAAAGCTACAGAGATAACATTGGTTCAGATCTTGAAAGGCCTTATTTCATTTTAAGGAATAATTTTAAATTCTACTTTGTAAGGAAATTGAGGCCAGATTTTTTTTTTTTTTTAAAAGATAAAAGGAGGGAAACATTAACAGACATACAACATTTTACAACATATCACAAGCACAATACAGACAACACAGAGTTACAAACAAAGTGGTAGGGAATTAACAATGGTGGTTGTATTACATATTGATATCTTCAAAGTTGAGGCCAGATTTTATAGGGAAAAATATAAAACTGATGAACTTAGGAAAATAATTCTGGTAGCTGGCAACATAAATGTATCGTCATATCTTTGACAGTAAATCTCTTTTGAGGCAAACTGAAACACACCTTGGTAGAAGACAGTGTAGTCTTGTCTGGGGAAGCTTCTTCATCAGAGTCATCATGATGGCCTCTTTTCTTTTCCATGTTAAATCTACGATGACTCTCAGAAGGTAGTAAAGATCGAAATGATTTTTCTTCTATTTCATCTTCTGTCATGGATTCATCAAATTTCAGGGAATATTCTGTTGCAATAGAAGTTGAATCTAACAGAATAGGAAGGAAATACATTTTATCATTATACGATTTTATCGTTTATGTTCTCAGTAGCTGTTTTATTAGCAACCCTTTTGCCTCTTTATGGGTCAATCAAACAAAAATTTATAGAACTGATCACTAGCAATTAATAGGGATGGAACAATGTCTTGGTTACTATTCTCTCATTGCTGAAACAAAACACCAGATGCCCAAAATTAAGGAAGGGAAAGTCTATTTAGCTCACAGTTTGTGGAGGTTTCAGCCCATATTTGGCTGGCTCCAGGGCAGGGTGGCATGGCAGAGGGGAAACAGTTCATGGCAGAATAAGACAGGAAAAACAACAAGAGCAAAAAAGGAGGAGCAGAGCAAGCCTCCTTCCCTCCCTTATATTGTACGTAGGCTACCCCCACCCAGGGTGGGTGTAGCATTCACACCCATAATTCCAGCACTGGACCATGAATCAATCAAAAACTCTAGAAGCCCATCAGATGAGGCTTTGGGGGACATCCAGATACAAACCATAACAAACAATAAACTAAATTCATTTACTGAAAAAAATCTCTACCATACCTAGAAATGCTAGGATAAGAAATATGGTAAAAGATTAATGTACTTCTTATTTAAAGGTCTTATATATCAAGGAAAAAACCACTAGGACAGCTATAGAAAAATGACGAAGTGTTTCACAAAGAAAATGTAAATAGTCAAAGGGAAAAAAAGTTAAAACAGAACAAAGAAATGATTAAAACATCTTGTTAAAAACTCATTAAATCCATACTTAATTAGAAACAAGACAGCTCTTTTAGGTTGGTACATGTGCCTCTGACATACCCCAACCTTTTGTTTACTGACTGCCTCCTCACTCTGGTACCACTAGAGGCTTCAGGCTCAATCTGTATTTTCCCTGCAGCCTTAGAATGAGCCATTTCTTCAAAGAGCTCTGGTGTCTTTTATTGGAGAGTGATATTTAGAAACCATAATCTGGGAACTGGTTGTCTTTGTTACTACTAGGGTATTAGTGCTTCTGCATTTGCTCAGTGGACAGGGCTTAGTGATATATGCATGTACACTCACTCACCTGTATATGCATAAGCATGCGCCACACATGCACACACAAAATTATTTTTGTATCCATCTATCCAACAAGCTAAACTTGAGTTCATACTGATGTCTGATTCAAGTTCAGTACCAGAGTTTATTTCCTCTCTAACATTGAGACACTTGGTTCCTACTTTTCAGTGTCCATTTACTTATTTGTTTAACCCCAATATGTAGGTAAAGAAAATTAACCTGCAGACTCATGACAAACAAATTTATCAACTAAAGTACAAGTTTTTTTTTAATATATAGCTTATAATTTCTAGTTAAAACACCACTTTCCAAATTATTTAGGTCAGTTTTTTGCCCTGTTAATCTAGGCTATTGACTTGACGGGACTGAAAGATGCCCAGAAAACTGGCAAGGCACATCTCTTAATGTGACTGTGACAGCATTTCCAGAATGGGTCAGAAAGTCAGCAAACTGAGGTGGTGAGAACCCACCAGAATGTTGGCAGCACCATCCAAAGGCTGGGGGCTCAAATATACCAAAAGGCAATGGAAGCTTGGAAGTGAACACAAGCTCAAAAGCAGGTGCATTTTTTTGCTGATGCATTGGTCATGGACATCAGACTCCAGATTCTTCAGCTTTTGAATGCAGACTCACACAAGCTACTCTCCAGGCATTATGGGACTACACAGCTTCTAATTGTGTAAGCCAATCTAGTAAATCTCTTACAGTTACATTCATACACTGTACCATAGTCTCTATTCCTCTAGAGAACTCTGACTAATATGACACCCCTCCCCCTCATGTGGTTATTCCATACATTTGTAATACAATTAGGTTTACTGGTCACAGGCTGCATTCCCTCCTGGGAACCCCCAACATCTGGACTACTGTGTATGTTTGTGCACCTTTAGTTCACATACATTAATTTTTTCTCTTTGTAGCTGGGTGTGGTGATGTACACCTGTAATTGCAGCTACATAGGAGGCTGAGTCAGGATCACCAGTTGAGGCCAGTCTGGACAACTTAGTGAGACTCTTATCTCAAAAAAGACTGAGAATCAGGATGTAGTGTGATGTAGCTAGCTCACACTAGCTAGCACAGTTTACCACATAGTGGTAAACTGTTTGCCTACCATGTGGAAGGCCTTGGGCCCAATCCCCAGGACTGCCTCCCACCAAGATCTCTTTGTGATACACAACTTCAGCATTTGGAGAAATACATATGTAGCATCATATCGAACATGCAAATACCATATGTAACCGTTTGTCCACCCAAGAAGTTCCCCTGTATATCTCCTTTGTAGTCAACTACTACATTTTATAGAGAATATGGGTATCATTAATCTGTTTTCCACCCTTACAATTTCATCTTTTCCAAACTATGATATAAAAGAAATCATACAACATATAGCCTTATGGGGCTTGTGTTTTCACTTAGTAAATCATTTAAAATTTATCCACACTGTTGCATGAATCAATAATTTGTTGGCTTTTAATATCTGAATTGTAGTATTCACTGCACCTATTTGTTTATCTTGGTTATTAGCAACTATGAATAATATTGCTATTAACATTAAGGTATAGACTTTTGAGGATGTAAGTGTTTAAATAACTAGTGACGGCTGGGGACTATATTACAAATCTCAAAAGACACTTTGAAACTCTCGCACAGTAGTCACACCATTTTGTATTCTTACCAGCAGTGAATGAAAGTTTCTATTACCCCACATCATGCCACCAACTTATTACAGTACTTTAAAAAAAATTTCTAGCCGTCTAACAGGCATATTGTGATTTTATTTGCCATCTGTATATTTTCTTCAATGAAGTATCTGTTCAGACCTTTCACACACTTTAAAACAGACCTGTTGATTTTCTTATTGTTGAATTTTAAGGGTTCTTTATAGATTCTGGATACAAGTCCTTAATCATTTTTGTGACTTGTACATGTTTTTCTCCCAGTTTGTGGCTTATCTATTCATTTTTTAAATACCGTTCTCACAGAGCAGAAGTCTTTTAACTTTGACAGAGTATAAATCATCCCTTTTTTTCTATTATGGACCATACCTTAAGACATTATGTCTAAAAAGTCATTAACCAAGTGAAGGTCACCTAGATTTTCTTCTATGTTTTCCTCTACATGCGAATTTCTAATGGCTCAATTTCTGTTTCATTTTTCCCCTGTGAAGTCTAGCTGCTTTGGCCTCTCTGAACTCTAATTCTATTTTTTCAACTCAGGGAGACCAGTGGATATTATGCTCTGTGGTCTGGAAACCCTCCAGGCCAGTGAGAGTGAACTTCTAGAGCTTTCAACGATATAAACAGTCCACTGTGGCATGTATGCCACAGGTTTACCACCAGTGCTCTAGGCAGGAAGTTGAGGTACTCATAGGCACTCGCTTCATTTGCTTCCAGTCTCTTGTAAGACAGCATCATTCACTAACTGATATACAATGCCCTGAAAATGCTATTTCTAATATTTTCCCTAATATTTTAGCTGTTTTAGGAAGAAAAGTAGATCTAATTCTTGTTCCTCCACCATGACTAGAAGTAGCAGTCCAAGTATTTTATTAATTTAATATTGCATTAATCAGTTAACTAAGTGAAAATGTTGCAGTTCATGATACTTCAAAACTGTCACTTTACAATTATTTGTCTTACAGAAGAAACTAAATAAATAATTCCCCTATTGTTTTTGTATACTCTTTATTTCTATAATATGGAATTGGTCCTTCTCAGGTCTGATCCTAAATTAACCTCATAAATGTTTAACCTAGTGGTACACAGAATATTTTTTGGCGGCACTGAGATTAAACCACTACATCCCAAACCTCTTTTTTATTTTAAGACAGGATCTCACTAAATTGCTCAGGCTAGTCATAAATTTAAAATCTTCCCAGGGTGCTGGGATTACAGACATGTGCCACCATGTGGGCTCACAAAGTAGCTTTGATTGTGTATATTTATAAAATTCTGAGCATGCCCCCAACATTTATAAAGTACTTTTAGTCTGCTTGGGTTGCCATAGCAGGAGACCACAGAATGGGGAGCTTAATCAACAGATGTATTCTCTCACAGTTCCATACAGGTGCCCCCATAGGTATCAGTGCAGTTGATCTTGAAAGGCCCCTTTTCCTTCCTGACAGATGCCATCTGGCTGTGTCCCTCACGTGGCCTTTTCTCTGTGAATATACTCCTGGAGCCTCTTCTCCTAAAGACACTAGCACTACTGAATTAGAAGTTTACCCTAATGACTTCATTTAACCTTAATTAACTCCTTAAACCCTACCCCCAAATAGTCGTAAGAATGAGGTTCAACATAGGAATTTTACAGGGAGACATAATTCAGTCTATAAAATTTCATTCCCTACCAGTCCCTCAAATTCATGTCCTTCACATGTGAAAAATATATTCACTTCATTCTAATAGTCCCAAAAGTCTTTATCATAGCATCAACTCCAAATCCAAAATCACATTTAATACTATCTAAATTAGTATGATGGTTAATCGTTGACTATTGATTGGCTTGAGATACACTTGGAAGATTAGTAAAGCATGCTTCTGAGTGTGTTTGGATGGGCCCCATGACCTTGGGGGACTGTATCTATTCACTGGTCCTTCCTCTCATTCTTTCTCATCCTGCCTGCCATGATATGAGCAACTTTCCTTCTGCATGCAGTTCTCAAATGTCCTTCTGCCACGTTTCTGCTTTTGAGCTAGCCAACCACAGACTGAAATTTCTAAAATGGTCAACATAAACTTTTTCTCCTTTATGTTATGTATGTCAGATATTTTGTCCCAGCAGTGAAAAATTAATACAATTAGATATAGGTGAAATTCAAGGTAAGATTCCATCAGAGACAAAAATTTCTATCTAGCTATAAATGTATAAAACCAGAGAAATAAAGCCAGTGCTTCCAAAATACAATGATGGGACAGGCAAATAATAAATATATCTATCCAAATGAAAGAAAATGGATAAGAAAGAGGTGTGGGCTCCAAGCAGGTCCAAAACCTGGCAAGAAAAATACCATTAGACCTTAAGACTAGAGAATGACCTTCTTTGGCTTATTGCTCTGCCCTCGGGACCCATCATGATGGCAGCTTCATCTTTCTGGGCCTAACTGGCAAGGTAGCCTTGCCTTGTACACACACTGGAGCAGCAGACCCCCACACTCTCAGTCCCAGGTGCAGACTGGCCCCTAAAAACAAGGAGATGGATGTTCACAGCTACAGCCAAGTCTCAATGGCTTTCTCATACCAGTGCAACCTCTAGTTGATTAAGCTCCAACCAAAGGGGAAAAGTGATAAGTAAGGAGGTTTCTAGAGCATGTCTTCTACAAAGCAGACTATTTGCAAATCAGCTAGTGGTAAAACACAGAAGCAGCAACTGGCTATCAAAATCACTTATAAAAGTATACCCTCTACTTCAGGAGTGAGCAACCTCTTCATTACCAGCCTGGTAATGTGACACTCCATGAATTGAGATGTTATTAGAAGTCCCCTGAATTTTTGATTCACAAATTCTTCTTCCAGCATCTGGTGGAAAAAAATTGCTCAAGACTTCCAAACAGATCTGCACTTTCAAAGCATGGTTTCTGGTGCTCTGTAGGAGGCAAATGAGGCCTATCTGGTTGGACTTTTTGAAAACACTAATATTCTTTCCATAACAAACATCTAACCATTACAGCAAAAGACATCCAACTAGCACATGGTATACACAGAGAATGTGCTTAAGAAGCTACTACAACAGGAAACATTTCACTCAAAACACACACACAGGGGCCAGGGATATAGCTCAGTGGCACAAGCGCCTACCAGGCAAGCGCAAGGTGCTGAGTTTGATTTCCAGTACAACACACACACACACACACACACACACACACACATTCTTCCTGTTACTGCTAGTTCTGAATATTAGATATTTTTCACCATAAATATATGATTACATGTAGAAAAACAGGACTAAAATCAGGTATTGGCATGTTTCCAGTTTCATCTGCTATGAATTTTTAATATAGAAGTTGGGATGTGAAGCACTAATTCAAGTCAGAGTGCTTTATTGAAAAAGTTTCAGCAGTTCAACTTTATAACAATTCTAAATAAATGTGTTAAATTTTTCTGGACAATGTTATCATTTGGATTTTCAAAAAGCAAGTAAATTTCTTGCGGATAAAGAAAGAAAAAAAAGAGAGATTGCTCTACCCTCTGGAACTGCGTAGACAGCCTTGCCATTTGGGCCTGTGGTGACAGTGGCAGCCTTCCTGGAAGTGGTTCTTGAAGGATAAGCACATTTGCAACCATCTACTGTATAGAATCCCAGAAGTCTAAATATCCTCGCTTTATTCCATACTGTCTTCTTTGGTCTAAACCTGCAGCATCTCTGTTGGTAAAACCCCATCTCTATTCCTAGCTTCTGCTGAGGTGGCTGATAAAATCCATGGGTAATCTCTTTGTGGAGAGACTGTCTAGCCATACCCTTAGTATTCTCTCCAGAGCATGCTTTCTCATTTTTTACAAATATGGAGAGGCTGAGAATTGTGTAGGTCTTCAAGTTCAGATTATTTTATTGCTTAATAATTCCTTTACTGTAAGCGGCAAGGAGAAACTTGGCTATCCTCTTACTACTGTGCTTAGAAATCTTAGTTAAAAACTTCTATTTTCCACAAAATACTAGAACACAGTTCAAACAAGTTATTTGCCACTTTCTAACAAAGATCACCTTTCCCTGTAGTTTATATAATAAATGATAATACATACGTTTGCAAGGAAAGTTACCTTTCTCATCAGGAAGAGATGGAATGTTATCACTTTGTAAAGAATCATCTGCAGCAGTTTGAACCTGTTCATCAACTGAATTCTCCATCTTTTCATCATGAAGTTCCTTCTCATTTTCCTTACAAGACAAAGCTGAAGGACTTTCTTTACGGCTATTACTACTACTACTTCTGTTTATGGATATTATGGAAATAAACAAAAAAAAAAGCAATTAAATAAGGATCACAACTTCAAAGTAAATTTATTTGACTAAAGGACTATGTTTTATAGTCAAGATATAAAGAAAAATGCCATATAAAATATAAAAAGGTAAGTAGAAATAAGTGCAGAACAAACTTTTCAAAGAGATGAATATGAGAGGGAGGGAAGGTTTCATTTTGCAATCATTTTAATAGGCAGCCATTATTGCTGGGATACTCAATTTTTTCCTTTCATTTCTGGGAAACTAAAGGAAACTTTTGTAAAGTTTCCTTTCCAAAAGAAACGGGGTATCCGTTCACCATTTCCATTTCCTTTCATTAACATCATGCTTTATCATAATCTAATTACATCCCAATAGCTATACTGGAACTGTTCTCTACCTAACTCTCTACCTAACTGTAAATTCTACCCCAAGCTCCTGATTGCCAAATCCAATCAATAATTTTTTTTCTCTGCAATATTACATAGTACTGACCTCTACTTTCTTTAAAAGCTCTACTCGCTAAAGAAAATGTGGTAAAATGTTAATAGCGTGATCTGGATGACAGAGATTTGAGGACTTTGTATTTTTCTTGGAAGTTTTCTGAAAACCTGATATTATGTTAGAAGTTAAGTAAGAGGTCTCTGTTCTTATAGTCCATGATTTTACTCGCTTCTCTTTCCAACTTGATAGTAAGTTTTCCTGTATCTTTTACCAGCTTACTACTGTTACTAGATTGAATCTTAAATCTGTATCATTAGCTTTGCCTTTCCCAACATGAAACTTCAAGTATCCAAATGCCTAAAGAACTTTTAATTTTGTCTATTCTTTAGTAAACAAACTAAACATAAAGTATTCTCCTTCTTCCTCCTGTTTTCCTTCATCCTCTTTGGTTTATTTATTCATTAAAAATATTTAAAAATTTTAAAGGATATTAGAAGCTTATCTTGATTCAGGTTTTGAGATCCTCTGCACATGTTATTTTATTTCTGTGAAATGTCTTTCCTTCTCTGTCTGCTTAATGAACTACTAATTTCAAGACGCAGTTCAAGGGTCATTCCTCCTCATTCTCAAGGAAGATCTGGTTACTTCTGTTTCTATTTTTACATACAGCTTTTTGTGTACATTTATATAATAGTATTAATCAGTATATAATCTAATAGCCTGGTTTAATAAATCTTTCTGAAGGGATAAATTTTCTAATAAAGTTATAAAGTAAAAGATACAAGGCAGTAAACAGCAAGAGCTTTGCAGTCAAAGGGACATGGAGTAGAGACTGTCTTTGTAGCCAAATAAGTAAAGGTTCAATTCACTGATATGTCAGTATGTATGTGATCTTGGTGATTTTCTTAACATTTCCCCATGTACCTCAGTTCCCTAATTTATTAAGACAATATTATCTGCCTTGGAAGGTTTCTATAAAGATTAAATGTAAGGAAAATACCTTATGCAGCGCTTGTACAACTAGCTTCTCAATTAATAGTAGCTGTATTATTGTATTGTGAACTATTTTGTTAATTAGCCAATTAAAAGAGCAGATATTGTTCCATTTTTAGAAATAAGATTTAAAAAGTCAAGGAAAAGCAATGTTTAAGTCATTTTCAGAGTTTACCAAATTATACTTTCTTTACCTTCGATCGTGATTCTTGTATCTTGATAACTCAGAATAATTATTATATGAAGGGGAATACTTCTGATGTTTTGAATCAAGGGTCCCTTCTTTACTGTGAAAGTGTGAAACTGATTGGCTTATCCTACAAAGAAAACAGAAACTGATTAAACATTTAGTTTCCGGTAAAGGAAAAAGTTTAAAGATTGTTTAACAGTAATATGAGATAAAATCTTGAATGCATAGAAATTATAAAATAATTGTTACAAAGTATTTAAGAAAAAAGGCATTCAATAATTGAAAAGGACATAACAATACATAAAGAATACATTGTGCTTAAAAGGATATCAACACATTATCATTCCTAATATCAATGAATGTAAACCAAGACTTAAAAACTGTATGAATTAGAGAGAGTGAAAATATGATTTTAAAACCCACATACACAAGTATGACCATGTCACCTAGGTCTACCAAAAACTCTTTAATTTTGTTCTTGGAATAAACCCCGAATCCCCAAATCTGCAGGGTCCCACCTAATCCATCATCTCATACCATTCTCTTTGCTCTATGCCCCCAGTTCTAGTGATCTTCTTTTTTAAGTATGTCATGTTCCTTCCTCCACCAAAGCTTTTTTTCTTGTTTTTTACTGAGACAGATTGCTGCTGTGCTGCCCAGGCTGTACTCAAATTTTAGATGCTTCTTTCCTCAGCCTCCTACAATGCTGAGTTTACTGGCATGCACCACCATCACTTACCCCTTTGGGGGTTTTGGTCTGCCTATTCTTTCCCTTCTTTATATCACTGACTCCTCATTCACATATCTCACCATCAATTTTACTTCCTCAGAAATACTTTCTCTGACTCCTTTGTATCTCCAGAATATTCAAAGTCTAGTGTTACACATCTGAGATGTGTTCCTTTCCTTCATAACATTTAACTCAGTTTTCAAGTGTTCGTTCACTTAACTGATTATTTCTCCAATGTTTACCTTCCACACTAGGCTATAAGCACATATTTGCATTCCAAGTACCCACAAGAGTGCCTAGAACAGTGGTAGCAAACCTACGGTGTGTATACCACAGCGGGCTATTTGTATCACTGTTTGCCATCACTGGTCTAGAACATAACAGACATTCATGATATACTTCTTGAATAAATATTAACCTATTTGTTTCAGCTCGGGTCCTCAGTTGTTTCATGAAATCTGGAAGGTGTTGCCGTTGGTGGTTACACAGTGTTGCTTGGGGAGTTCCTGGGCCAGTGATAGCATCTGAGATATTTGTTCGAGTCAACTCTGCCATCTAAGTATGAATACACAACAAAGATAAAAGTAGATATAAAACATCATGTCACAGAAGAACTGAGAGGGAGCACAGTGTCTTGGGAAGATCACTAAACTGGAAGCGAGCAAATTTTGCCACTAACAGATGAAATATTCTGGGTAACCCACCTAGCTTGAGTCCTGAGAAACTCATCGTATAAAAATAGAGTTGGACTATATGATTTCTAAGGTTTTACCTAGCTATAACAAACTATAAATTAGGCAGAAAACCCACAAGCCATATAATAAGCAGTAGTTAACCAAAATTAAGCCTTCCTTGAAGAATCAACTCAATTATTATTTACCTTCTAAGGCTTTCATTTCAATGTGAAGTACATTTGCCCTACTCTTAACACTACTGCAACTGCCATGTCTATTATTCATTTAATAGTTATTCAATTACTGTTGTGAGCTATTCCTTCTGCTGATGACTTAAAAGTGTTTTTGAAATATTTTGTTAATGTTGCCTACTACATTAAAATCTTCTCAAGAAAGAAGACTCAATTGTGTATTTATTTATTTGTACAATCCCACAGTATCCAACACTTAGCAGATTCATGTATTCTTAATATGCACTTAACAAACAGTCCTTAACTTGTTTAAAAATTATTGCTAAAATCAAATGAAACTATATCAATAGATTATAATATCCTTTATACAAAATACAGTAAACCACAGTATTTCTGGCTTTAACCTTGGTGCAGTTTTTTAAAAAGACACTGACTAACATCATTCTGTACACAAATGAAACATCATCATACAAAGCAGACAGTAGTTTCCACAGGCTAAGGCTGGGGACTGAAGAGGCACAAAGGAATTTTTTAGAATGACAAAAATATTCTATTCTTGACTATAGTGGTATTTACAGGGACATACATATTATATATGCATTTAAAATGTATACACTGTATTGTTTATACATTACACATCATTAAAGTTATTACTTTTCTAAAAAGATTATGAGAGGACAGAAATTAGAGTTCATCTTCTTTCTGCTGACTGTTCATACACGTAACATCTAATTAACGGTGCTGCTTATTTCAAAAGGGCCCTACTGAAAGTCATTAATTCAAATTATCCTTTTGCTAGATAATAGAAACCATTACTGATAAGACCAAGTTACTCAAATTGACCAAGAAACTAAAACAAAGGGGGTCTTCTTGGCTCTCACCTCACAGATCTGGTGAGCTGCATCTGTGGTAAGGCAAGCAGTCTCTGTTTGCTGAGCTGTTATTTTACAAGTTGCTTCCTGAATAACTTCAGTTACTTCTCTCTGTGATTTAACTACCTGCTGTAATGATTCTGTATGGACCTATAAATGAAAGGAGACAATAAAACGAATTTAGGGTTCTGCCTCCCTCCACCCAAATTAGTTTTAATTTATAAATTTGTTTCATGGATGAACTGCCTTATTTAAAAAACAGTTGAATACAACTTGGATTTCACAGCTTAAATTGCAACTCCAGAGTTAATGTGTCTGTGGATTAGTAACTATCAGCTACCACTTCTTTAAATTGGAAGTCAGACTTTACTACCTATTTCACAAGGTTGCTACAAGAATCAAGTGAAATAATGAAATTATTCCATATAAAGTACTAAAATATAAAAATCGGTATCTTTTTTACTAATATATAATTAAAAATGCCACAATGATTTTCAGATACAAATGCAGGTCTGGAGGACCAGTACCTGCTGCAAACTATGTTACCTGAGCTGCTTTGTTCCGGGTTTCTTCTAATTGTCTCTGACACTCTAGAGCCTCTTGTTCAGCCTTCAGTTTCAAAAGAGCTAAATCTCTTTCATGACGTTGCTGCTGTGCCTTCAAAAATTTTTTTAAAATGGTCAAATATTAATTCTAAAACACTAAACTACTTTTAGCACAGTGACTATAATAAACATGATGCTATGTTTCCTTTTTTTTTTTTGAGTCAGGGTATCATTAAATTGCCTAGGCTGGCCTTAAAACTCATTATCCTTCTGCCTCAAGCCTCCTCATTCACTGGGATTACAGATAAAATGCCACCCCACCCACCTAGCTCACAAAGCTATGTTTCTAACATAAATGACTTAGAGCAACCAACTATAGTCTAAAAGAAAGACAGTAAGCAGTGCAGTCATGGGCCATTTATTATTTACCAAAAATATTTAATGACCTTATACTTTATGTCAAATACTGTAGAAATACAAAAAATTCCCAAGGCTTGTAGGACTAACAATGATACCAATAAGCTAATTGTAAAGTAATAACTTTAACATTTAACTCCTTAAAAGAGATAAAAATATGTCCTATATATAAAAATAAAGATTATGCCTCATGTTGCAGTTCTGATTGTTTTATTTGAACTCTAAAGCAGGAGGGTCATTTAAAATGCTGCCCTCCAAAAGGTCTCCTTTTCATGATGACCTTTTCTTGCTATTATTCCATGCAATGTTAACTGTTAAATGAAAATATAAAACAACTAGAATAGCCAAAATCTTCTTGAAAAAGAATGAAGTTGGAGAAATTACACCCCGATTTAAACATTCACCCTGAAGCCATAATAATAAATATAATATTATTTACAATATCATTAGGGACAGACAGAGAGATCAACTGGAAAGAACAAAGTTTAGAAACAGACCCACACGTAAGTACCGACCTACACATAACATACCTACACATAACTTGTGATGAACACATTAGCACAATTTAAGTCTTTTTAAGAAAATGATAGTGGAACAACTCAATATCCATATATAAGAAAAATGATCTTTTACTCCTTACTCATATCAAACCCCCAAATTAACTTGAGAAAGGTAACACAAATACAAAGGTAACACAAATACACAAATATAAAAACTTTGGGAAAAACATGAGAACATTTCTGTTAACATCTTAGAAAAGGCAAAGATTTCCTAGAAAAAAAAAGGCATTACTACAAAGACAAAAAGTTAAAAACAGGATTTTATCCAAATTAAAAACACCTGCTTTCTTACTAGACATAGTTTAAAAAATAAAGAGGTAGGCCAAGAACTGGGTTACAGTGTTTGAAATGTGAAATGGTTTTGTTTCTAGAATATATAAAGAATTCCTACAACTCTGTAAGACAATCCAAGTGGGCAAAAAATCTGAACAGATATTCACAAAAGAAAATGTAAGAATGGTTAATAAGTACACAAAAGGTCGACCCATCTCATAAAATACAAATTACAACCACCTTGAGACCCACTAGAATGACTATTAAAAAAAGATTGCTAATACTAAACCACAGTAAGAATAAAAATAACTGGAACTCTCATATATTGCCATAGTAAACTGTTACAATCACTTTGGAAAACAGTACAGCAATTTCTTATAAAGTTTCATGTATTTATACTTTATCTAAGCAATCAATTGTAATCCTACATATACAAGACAAATGAAAACATATGTTGTATACATAGTTATTAAAAAAAACTTTGTAATAGAAATGTTTATATTAGCCAAAAACTGGAAATAACCCAAATGTACATCAACAGAAGAACACATATTTGTGACACTGATCAATAAACTATTACCAGGGGAAAAAAATAAAAAATCTAATAGAAGGACAAGGACAAGTCTTAAATTTATGTTAAATAATATAGGCTAAATAAAACAGTTCAAAGTATACTTCGTTCATCTGAAGTTCTAGGACAGGGAGAAATACACTGTAGTGCTAGAAATCGTAACAGAAATCTCCTTGGGGCTTAAATGAAAATGCGCATTGGTCAACTTTCTATAGCAAAAGAAGTGTCCTATATTTTGATTAGGTGGTTGTTACATACATATACTAGTCAAAACTCATCAAAACTGCATACTTAAAATATGCATATCTTGCTGGGTTTGGTAGCATGCACCTGTAATCTCAGTACTCAGGGAGTTATGAAAGTTTGAGCCCAACCCAGGCAACTCAATGACTTAGCGAGATCCTGTATCAAAATAAAAATTAAAAATCAAAGGCTGAAATGTAGTTCAGGGTAAACGCCCCAGGTTCAACTTCTAGTACTAAAAAGAACCCAAAAGACAAAAAACAGAAACACTACCCTCCATATCTTATTGTATGTAAATAATACCTCAGATTTTTAAAAAATTATACCAATAGCACTCCACTGAGGAACATTACGCTTTCCCAGCAGATTTTTGTTTGTTAAGGAAAGGTCCATATTATCCTGACTTTATCAAATGTGGATTTAAAAAATTTTTTTTGCTTGGTACAAATAAAGCATTAAAACAATTCAGCCATCTCTGATTGTAAATGAAAAGAGAAAATATTAAGAATGACTAATTTTCACACTATCAGTAGAACAAAGCATAAGGACAAGGGATGTACCTCAGGGTAGAGTGCTTGCCTAGCATATGTAAAACCCTGGGTTTCCCAGCACAGGGGAAAAACAAAGGATAAAACACAGAAAACAAAGTTCTTGAGAAAGAATGATTATGTTATTTTTCTGCTGCCAAAAACTGTATCTTTAATTTTCTTTTTAGTACCTTATATGATAATTTTACACAGCGTCTTGAATATATGATTTTTTTTTAAATTTGGCAATTTAAAAGTTTGTTTTAAAACTCATCAAGACTATTTTAAATAGCAAAGAGAAAGACACCAGAAAGATAAAAAATAAAAAGTCCACAAATACCTTTATGATCTGAGCCAGAGACACACTCTCCTGCTGAGCAAGTGAAATGCCTCTAACTCTTTCTACATCTGACAGTTGGCGCACTGACTCCTCAATGGCATTCAGATAACTTAATTCTACTGCCATACGATGTTGGAGGCCAGCAGGAGAAAATCGCTTAGAACCTGGTGTGCATAATAATAGTCAAATGGAAAAGTTTACATGAAATTACACCTCAGATTTCTAAAATTTATTTCTATGAGTCAAAAACAAGTCTGCTTTCTTTTGTTGAAAAGATAGTGACTTACTAATATATTTTAATAGTTACTTCTATGTGTGTGTTGCATGCACATGTGTATACAAACATATATACACCTATAATCATCTAGGTGTGTGTGTGTGCGTATATATATACACACACACACGCACACACACACATATATATGGGATACACTTTTCAGGTGTATATTAACACAGGAAAAGACATCCATTATCAAATATGCCATGATTTTTAGTATTTAACTTCCTGTACAGTGTTTATTTACTACTTGAATAATGATATTCAATTGAAATAACATCTCTATGGCTCAACTGAAAGAAAAGGTGTTTTCAGGGGCAAAACGTGTAACAACTTATTTTAAAAACTGTAACAGCATGGATCTACTTGCCTGGTGTTGAAGCCATCTCTGTTGTTCTGCTGGCAGTCAGGTTCACATCAGTGAACGCTGCATTAGGGTTAAATCCTGTTGTAGATGGAGGTGTTATTACAGAAGACTTAGATCTTTCTAATGAAGTTCCTGGAAGGTCAAACTGTATCAATTTCTGGGAACTTGGAGATAGAGGAGAAGTTGGAGTTTTCTGAGATCTTCCCTTGTCTGATGAGGCACTAGAATTTTTGTTTCATAAAATCATTAGCAAAATGATTTACTTTCAGCTAAACAATTTGTAATACAAATTACTTTCTTTACCTACATTAGCCTTTAAAAGCATGACTTAGACGATCATTATGTTGAACAAATGACTATGAATACTCCTCTAACTGACAGATTTACAGCACTGAACAAGCTAAGTACAAAGTCTACCCTAAATAAAATGCAAAGTGGGAGATGTCTTTTGATTAAATTGGCACTGAACTCTTCTACAAAGCAGATAGACCATCATTCAATCATTCACTGAAGTTTGAAGCAAAGTCTCCTAGAATAGACATTATATAGCAATAAAAATATAAATGTATGCACAATATTTTATCTTGTAAGTTTTTAAAATATGTCCTTGAAAGAGAGTAAAGCATCATTTCATACTAAAAATTAAATAAATTATTTGACATCCTTTCTTTTGTTAACTGAAAAAAAAATCACAGAAATCAGATGAAATAATTTTCATACTATTCATCTTTAAATAATGTATGTTCGAGGGGTGTGGTGGCACACACCTGTAATCCCAGCACCTGGGAGGCTGAGGCAGGAGGATTGCTGCAGATTTGAGGCCAGCCTGGGCTACACAGTAAGTTCAAGGCCAGCCTGAACTATATAGTGAGAGCTTATCTCCAACAACAAAAAAAGCAGTCTTGAGAGGTACTGACTTGTTTAACAAGACCTTTAACTTCCTGTTGATGGTTTAGGGAAGTATTACCCACTTGAAAGTGAGGGATGTGTTCTAAGCCTCCAGTGGAAGCCTGAAACCTTGGATAGTATGAAATCCAACCTGAATAAACTACATTTCCTCACATATACAAATTTAATGTCTCTTCCATCTTAAAAGCATTTATTGTACTCTGTGGCTGCAACTTTTGCAGTCTGAGGTATAACAGCAAAACTACCTGAGTTTCTTCTTCCTGCCTCACAATTTCATGGATAAAACACTCACTTTTATTTTAGATCTTAGCAATTTCAGCATATAATTTTTCCTTTTTCTTATTAAATCAAGCTCTTTTACCTTTTCACTTAAAAGAAGCACATTCAAACTTCTCTTTGGCATATCTGAATCAGCAGTTCTTAGGCCATTACTAAATAAAACAATGATAGTCAATCTGACAACCACAATGGTTACTGACTGACTAATGGGCAAAGGAGATATACACTGTCAATACACACTGGGCAAAAAAGGATGATCCATACGGAAGAGGGGAGCTGGGTGGCCTGATACATTACATCAGAATGGCATATAAATTGAAACTTATGAATCTTTTATTTCTGGAATTTTCCATTTAATATTTCTGAACTATAATTGACAATGGATAGCTGAAACCATCCAAAACAAAACTGAAAATAAAGAGAACTACTGTATTTCTAACAGTCAATTTCATTTATGGAATCTAAAATTTAAATTCCAACATGACTATACAATAGAGTATTACTCAGCTATAAAAAAAAGATAAACTTGAGGCTTTTATAGGTAAACAGATGCAACTAGAGACCACACTCCTAAGTGAAATAAATCACACCCACATGTGTAAACATAGTATTGTCTCCCTAGTTGTAAGAACCTGAAGGAGTAAATAAAACCCAAAACATCATATAGATACTATAAAAGGGAAAGAAACTGCTCAAAGGAAGGGATAATTGGGATGAGGGAAAGGAGAAAAAGAAAGGAGATATATATATATATATATGGATAGCTGGGATATATATATATGGATAGCTGGGGTAACTACTGCTGATATCTGGTGGTTTATTGAAAGGAACAGTGAATGCCTAATTTTTTTTTATTTGACCAATTTTGCATGCATATATCTGGTAATCTGAGCAACTGATTTGAAGACAACAATATGCAATACAACAACCATTGGTGAATTTCTACTATCTTGTCTAGTGAAACTCTGTATCTTTCTAATGTTCTTTCTAATTATTATTTTTTTATTCTCTTTAATGGTTTGATCAATCTTGCATTCTTACATCCGGTAATCTGAGCAACTTCACTGAAGATAACAATATGTGATATAACAACCACTGTTAATTCCTACATTTTGTTTTGAAACCTTGTATCATTTTTAAAGTTTTTGCTTTGTTTTGTTTTTGTCTGTGATGTTGGTATTTTGCTATTGCTCTTTTCTGTTTTTTCTTATTCTCTTTAAAATAAAAATAAATTCCCACATGACATCAAACAAAAAAACTACTCTGCATCTCACCTTATGGTTTTATAAAATGAATTTATATTTGCTTTTCACAGAAGATTCCCTTAGACTAGTATTTCCAAAAGTGTATTTTCAATGATTTTATTAGGTTTTCCAAAAAATAAAAAAAAAGGGGAAAGCAGTTAGGGACAAAGAGTGCCTACAGCCAAATAAGTTATTTTTAAAAAGCCAAAAAACTCACGAGTTAAGAATTTTTAAAACTTTGTTCCTCTTTATTAAAGTTTCAAGTTATTTCATCTACTGTGACTTTTCATGAGTAGGAAAGGGGCCATAGATTATGAGGCATTATCAAATGATATTTTAGGGGCTGGGGATTTTGCTCAGCAGCACAGCACCTACTTGGCAAGTGCAAGGTCGTGAGTTTGATTCCCAGTACCGGAAAAAAAAAAAACCAAATGATATTTGATAAATGTTAAAATTCAGAAAATAAATATCAAAATGACAAAATTTATCATATTTATTTTGCCATGGGTTCTGTATTTTAGGAATGTTTAACTTTGTAGATTTTGCCAAACTAAATCATCACAGTATGTATCTCTTAAGAAAAGGTACAGTTTTCTGAATCATAAAATCATTGACAAATTAAATTTTAAATACAGCAATAACAGTATTAATGATGTAATATGAAAGCATTACAAATGGTTACTTATATGTGGCACTGTATTAGAAAAAGCATATAGTTACTTAAAAAAAATCAATCTGTGTCTTCTCAGAATTTTCATTTCCAGAAAGGACAAAGACTAGTGCACAGAATGAAAAGTAATGTGAATGAATTCATAGGAACTATACAGGAAGCAATAACTGAAGGTTCTGTGGGACAGGTAGGCATATACTATATAGCATTACATAGAGGAAAAACACAGGTATGCAAGCTCTATTAGGAGTGAGATTTCAAAATCACCTTGAGTAAACTGAGAGAGAAAAGTATAAAAGAAATAATTTCAACAATGACACCAAAAGGATGTTAAAAAATGGTATTAAAAGGGTGGAAGAAGCCAGGCGTGGTGATGCACGCCTGTAATCCCAGCACTCGGGAGGCTGAGGCAGGAGGATCGTTGTGAGTTCGAGACCAGCCTCAGCTCAAGTGAGCTCAAGCCCAGCCTGAACTGCAGTGTGAGACCCTGTCTCAAAAACACAAACAACAAAAAAAACAAAATAAAAAAAAAGGTAGAAGAATACAGCTAGAATTCAGAAAGCTAATTTTATAGACAAAAAAAAAATGAGATATTCTGTGATAGTCCAGTAAGAACACATAAAATAAAATTAGACTCTCATAGTTGACCGATAGGTTAATCAACCTCTCAAAACACTCAAAGAAAGGCAGATGCTCTGTGAAAAGATTGAGTCAAGAACAATATGGTAATGGCTTTCAAGTTAGAGAGGTGGATTGTGCTTGAGGTGGAGAATTCCTGAAAAGAAGTTATAAAAGTTTAGATAAAAGTTGGCCATATTCTAAAATACAAAGTGTAGAGGTACAAAGACTATTCAGAAAGTACAAAATTTTATAGTAGCTCAGATGTGCACAACTAACTGCCAAGTAATTTACCAAGAGGAGTCTTTGAACAATATGGTAACTTTAACTATACATGAATTACAGTATCTGAAAACCAGTGACATTACAACTTCAGTTATTTATGACTTATAGTATAAAAAAGTATAAATAAAAAGCAAAATAAAAGATAGGTAATAGGAAGTTGGGAGAGATCTTTCTCAGAGAGGAAGGGGATCAAAAGATGAAGAGAACAGGGAAAAAGGGGAGGAATGGGGGATGAAAAAAGGAATTGAGATGTGTTATGTACATGTACCAACTCTACACAAAGAATGTAAACATTATGTACTACAAACAAGTACAAAAAAAAAAAAGAAAAGAAGATTAAGAGATGGATGAAGGGGACAGAGAGGTAAAGGAAAGGGAATGAAAAAAGGAATTAAGATGTACTAAGTACTTGTACCAACCCCCCACAAGGAATGTAAACATTAAGTATTACAAACACACACTAATAAAAATTAACTGCATAAATCATTACTTTACCTCATAGAATGTCCAGAAAGTTCTTCCGAAGTGCCATCAGTGTCGAGAGTCTGTTCATAATCTTGAACAGAGAGTTTACTACTGGTCCCAGATTTCCTTCCTTGATGGGAACCACGTTCTGAGCCAGACTGTACTTTTTCCTCATCAACAAGTGAGCTTTGAACATTTCCAGTGATTGAATCCAACCCTGTAGAGTAAATTTCTTATAAAGCTCATTTCTAATATTAGAGCTACTAATAAAGACTTAAAAAAACTTAAAAGTCAACCCTGAGTCAGGCCTGCTGTAATTACACGTGTAATTCCAGCACCTGGGAGTCTAAGGCAGGAGAAGGATCACCTCGAGTTTGGGGCCAGTGTGGGCTACATAGTGAATTCAAGCCCAGTTGGAACTATGCAGCATGACTGCTCAAGAAACCAAAAAAAAAAAAAAAAAAGTAAGAAACAAATTCTGATTTCTGATACATGCTACACCAGAAATGAACCTTGAACACATTATGCTAAGCCTGATCCTCCAAGAACAATTATCATAAAATTCTACAGCAGCCAAATTCATAGAGACAGAAAATAGGACAGCAGTTCCCAGCCTGGGAGAGAAAGGAATGAAGAGGCATTGTTTAATGGACACAGAGTTTCAGTATGGGAAGGTGAAAAAGTTTTTGCAATGGACAGCAGTGACAGTTGCATGAATGAATGTGTACTGTCATTGAACTGCACACCTGAAAAGGATTAAAATGACAAATTTTATATTATGTATATTTTATCACAATAAAAATAAAATCAATTTTTTATAATATTAACATTGGTTGAGGGATAACTGGCAACTTTTTATTTTCAAATACAATGTTTTATATATATATACACACACACATATATACTCACATCCTCCTCCTGCTCCTTTTCCCTACTCTTACATCACCCCACCACCTTTATTTAACTCAATGAGCAGAATTTATCTTTACAATTAGAAGAAACAATTTTGGAGGAAAATCATTCCCTAGCTTGAGGCCATAATGTGAGCTTAAGAGCTTAAGAGGCCTATCTCATCAAATATAGGCCTACAGAAAAATCAGTCAATGATCTTCAGAGATGTGCTAATATACTATAAAGTGTTTTGTTTTTTGCAGCAATAAATTTGACATGTTTATTAATTAAACTATCACATATAAAAAAGTGCAGGTCTTGCTATATAGTTCAGGCTGGCCTTGACTTGCTATGTAGCCTAGACTTGCAGCAATCCTCCTGCCTCACCCTCCTGAGTGCTGTGATTGCAGGCATCCAGCACCATGGGTACTATAAAGTTTTTAAACAGCAGTTACAAAAGCAGTATTACTTACATTTTGCTTTTTCAGTAAAGGTATGTGTATGGTTTTATGGGTATATTAGGAAAATGGACACCAAAAATATTCATAATAGTTATTTCTCAACAGAATGATCATGGGCGATTTATATTTCTTGAATGATTGTTCATCTGTAATTCTTAATTTTTTGAATCATATATGCATTTTGTATTAAAAGATTTACAATGTTTTATCTCAAATGGTACATATTACAATAATAAATATGAAAGCTAGTTACATTATCATAAAGAAATTCCTCTAACTTCTTATGGAATCAAATCATAATTTTAGATCACTACCATAAAATAATTATTAGTAGAATTCCACTTACATTCTATCTTTTCCTTTTTTCCTTTCTTTCCTTTTGAAGTAGATGAATGAGATGATGCAACAGACTGGGCTCCTGATGAATGCTGGGAGGCAACATCCATGCAGGAAAGATCATAGGCAGACTTTCTGCTAGAATGGTCCTCCTGAATGTCTAAATTATTGCCACCAATACTGTCAAAGAAAAATAGTTGTTCAAGAAAAAGTCTGAAAGAGGCTACAAATTCTATTTCAAAGCACTCTGAGCCTGCAAAATAGGCAGCATCAGCAAAGTTCAGCCTCTAGAGCTGAAAAAAATGTATGTACAAGAAGTTACCATTTAAATTATGGCAGACATGTCCAAATATTGTGGAAATTGGATCCCTTTATGAATCTTGTGATAGATCAAAGTGTGGGATGGCAACTAATAGATAACACATATTGGAATGGTGATAGCAACATGAGGAAATAGGATATATCATTAGAAGTTTTGGAATTAGTATAAGTAATGGTTGTTCAGCAGAGACGTCTGTTCTTCCTACTCCAAAGGACCTGTTTTACTATGATTAAAAGATCAAATTGTATACATTTTCACATTAAACCTCTTACAAAATAAACTTTTTACAACTTTAGAAAAGCTTTTTATAAGCTTAAGAAGCTTTAACTTAACTTTAAGCTTTAAACATAGCTAAATCTAAATATTTTAAAAAACCTTTTTTAATCACAAGAATTTAACTACAATCAAAGATGGCTTCCATTTTACTTTTCGTTTTTCTTACTATCATAAATCTGAATTATTCCTAGCTCAATTTACAGTTCAGAAAAATGTCAGAGTTTTTTCCTGAAATGACACCAATAAAAACTCCTATTTTTGACATGTAAGAGGAAAAAAAATACAATGTCAAATACTAGAAAAGGTGGCCGTAACTTCTATTAGAATCTATAACTTTTTATAGTATAACTATTTTCTAATAATGTTATAGAGAACAAGGACTTAGCATGTTCTACTTTAACTAGAAATAACATGCATCAAATCATATTGACTGGTGGTATTAAATATAACCACAATTAAATCACTAAAATGTCTTTATTTAGAAATCTAACTTGCTAAGTATGATGGTATACATCTGTAATCCCAGCAACTCAAGAGGTTGAGGCAGGAACATGGCAAGTTTGAAGTCAGTCTAAGCAACTTAGCAAGATCCTGTCTCAAAATAAAAAATATAAAGTGTCAGTGATATAGCTCAGTGGTAGTGCATTCCTGCATACCATCCCCACCACTGAAAAAAAATCATTTCTTTAGAGCACAAAATTTTTTATTATGATTTTATTGTCATAATTTTAATAATATCTGTGTTTGGGCTGAGGAGATAGTTCAGTGGAACAGCACTTGCCTAGCTTGCACAAAAACCTATGTTTAATCCCTTGAACTACAAATTAAAAAACATTTCAAACAAAACAATAAAACTACGTTAACTCAACTAATTTTCATAGGATCATCTACTAACTGTATATAGACTATACTTTGTGGTATGTAAAAATATATTTAATATGAGTAATTGTAGATTAATTCATATGATAATAAAATCTAAGGAGGAAATTTCCTTTAAGTCTCATTCACTTCATGACTATGTACGAGTAACTGCTGTGCTTCACTTTCCTTTCTAAAACAGAGAAATAATAACAAAAACACTTTCCACATCAGGTTATTATAAAAATGAATTAATACAGGTAAATTCCCTCAGGCTTCTCAGTGTCTTATACATTAAGTGTTCAATAATTACTAGGTATGACAATTGCTATAATCAATCTTTAAAGCTCTGTAAAATTTTTGATGTTTTCCTAGTTTAAAAATGTACTCATAACTTACTTAGTTTCAAGAGTTGATGGTTTTTCTGTCAAAGTCCCACTGCCTGGAGAGGAGACAAAATCATCCTCATATGAAATACTACTTAGAGGGGTTGTGATGGCATTCAAAGGGTGTGATGCTGATGTTCCTCTGTCTAATCTGTCTTCAATATCTGTCAAAAGCAATAATTGAAGCATGGTTAAAAGCAAATCCAAAAAATTATAAGCAAAGAATTCTGCAACAGAGAGATGAATAACATGGACTTTGGGGGCAGTTTAGTTTGCTTTTAACTTCAAATTTACTGTGTAATCTAACAATATATTTTTTATTTTTTATGAGGAAAAAATTTAAACGTGCAAAAAACTAAAACAGCATAATGGAACCAATGTATCCAGCACCTACCCATAACCAACACGTAAATAATCTAGTTTCATTTAAACTGCCTATTCCTCTCATCTCCTATACCCCCACCAATTATTTTAAAGCAAATCCCAATACATGCCACATCTTCTTTAAATATTGCAATATATCTATAAAATCATATTATAATGTAGAACTTAATTCAATTTTATTATTAAAAATAAGTATTGATTTAAGTACTTTGTTTTCATCAAAAGAACTTTTAAAAAAATTCAAATTACTATCAACAAAATAAATGCCTAAAGAAAAGAGATGAATAAACGTAGACACAAAGTACTAATGAAGTGTCTAAATACGAATTATAGGAAAAACAGTGGTGATATCCAGGGAGCAAACAGATGAAACCAGTTGATTTATCAAATAATTTGTTAAATGGTGTGGAAATCCCCAACCTGGAAATTCTAAGGTTACCTTCATATAAATTGGATAGATTCCATCAATAACAGCAAGGACAAAGAAAAGAACTTGAAGGAATTCAGTCTATCACAAAAAAGGAAAATTGTGCTGTAGGAATGCAGGAATAAGAAGGGAACTTGAGAAGGTATTGTCTTAGGATTTAACTATACAGCTAGGTAACTGGCCAAAGTTTGACTGCTATTAAAATTAGTTTTGATAAACAGTAACGAAGTTTTTTCCATTTCAGAAATGTTACTACACTGCCCCTCTCAATTCTTGACTACTATATTCCAAAGATTCATAAGTCATTGTATTAATACATATGCTTAAGTTTGTATTTAAGAAAACAACCCTGACCACAGAAAACCTAGTTTGTGTGACATATGCCCAAGCCTGCACATTATATACGAATTTCTCTAAAGCAGATAAAAAAATTTCTAGAAACTACCACCCGTCAACTATTGTTTTATTACAATAAAAATTTTAAAATTAAGTCATTAACACTCCAGTTGAAGTGTGTACATAATTTAGAAGATGAATAATATGGATTATAAATCTCATCCTTATAATGAGCAATAAAAATGTATACTAAGTACATGATCTTACAAAGAAATTACAAAATAATTTTATCTCAAGATAACATAGTTTATTTTTCTCACCTTTTCCATATAACTGATATGATTTAGTAAAAATATTGATGACACTATGTGGACTTCCCTTTGCCAATTCTTCCCATGGTCCTTTGCTTTGTGTACCACCTATGTGCCCCAAAAGTGGCAAGAATTTCTCAGCTTCCTTCTGAAACTCCTTCATTGGTTCACAGGTATTTCTTTCCCCAGCACAAAATTCTTTTTCTTTTAAGATTTCTGCTACTTTCAAAAGGGGCCGTCCTTCCTGGCCTCCCTCTTCCTCAGAAAGACTCCCCTCACTAAGAAGAGGCCCTTCACTGACTGAGTCTGTGCTGGAACAAAGAGACACTTTGGCTTTTTCTTGAGAGCAGGCTTGCATATCAGAGTTAGAAGAGTCCGTGTGCCTCTTACATAACTGTGCCAGCAGCCCTCCTGGTTTGGGACCAGGAGATCTCATTCTAAAGCTTGATATTGCACTCTGAGGTCTTAGCATCTCAGGAAGCTTTTTAAACTCACTGAGGTTGCCTACACCAGGAAGATCATCATTAAAAGTTGCATGAGATACACAGGTTCCCAGCATCTTTTGAATTCGAGCAGAGAAAACATCTTCAGTCTCCTCTTTCACAGGTGGACTTATACCCTTGGTCCGAAGTCCATCTTCTTGAGGTGCTTGCTGCACATCATACTCAGTGTTCCACACTGATCCATAGTTGATATTGGCTCCAGCTAATTTCTTAGCTTCACATTCAATCCTGTTGGACAAAGAAGCAGCTGTTGCTTTCAAGGCTTCAATACGATCCAATTTACTCTTATATTGGCTGGCATTAGGTTTTAACAAGGCATCTGGATGAGCAGCTGGTGAGGTCAGATATGGTTGAGATGTAAAAACTAATGGTCCTGAAGCCATATGATCATTCTTCCTGGGTGGTAAGATAGATTCAAAATCCTTATGCAAAATTCCTACATGCTCTAGATTTAAGAGATGGGAAAGCAAATTTCCAGCTGCTCCAATAAGAGGTTGTGGTTGAGAACTGTGTGCTCGTGGGCTCTGTCTGTCAGGCTGCATCCATGTAGGTTCCATCAAGTCTCTTCTGAAAATAAGTCACAATAAACTCATTAACATAGCAACTTGTGATTAAACCACTTTTTTAAAAAAGTGCTTAGACTACTTTGAAGATAACACTATGCAATATAACAACCATTATTAATTTCCTAACATCTTGTTTTGAAATTCTGTATCATTTTTAGTTTTTTTCTCTTTAAAATCAAACAAACAAACAAAACAGTGCTTGGTATCAAACCGAGGACCTTATACATAACAAGAACTCTATCTCTGAGCAACATCCAAAGCCCATACCACCACTTTTTTTTTTTTTAAGTTTTGGGTTTTCTCTGATTAGAAGAGTAATACATACACACTGAGGTGGAAAGAAGGCAGAAACGGTAAAATAAATAAATAAATAAAATAAAAGCAAGATCACTCATAGCTAAACAATCAAAAAGAGCCAGTATTAATATTTCATTTCAATTTCTACCCTCCCAATACTAACCATATTGTATTTTGGTTAGTATTGTTTGCACAAAAAAATGAGATTCCATTACACATACAGTTTCTCAAACTGCTTTTTTTAAGAAACACACTCCACTAAAAAAAAAACAAAAAAAAAAAAAAAAAAAAACTATTAGAGAAAGCATTAAGCCTTTTAAAATTCTGTGGACAAATTTCTTTATAACACGGTCTTTATCCTACCCTTTAAAAGTAATGTTATGTAAAGGAAAAATGCTTAAGATTGCTAAATACTTCCAGTCACAGTGGCACACGTTTGTAATCCCAGTACTCGGAAGGCTAGGCAGGAGGATGGCTGCAAGTTTGAGGCCAGCCTGGGCTGTATAAAGTGAGAGCAAGGCCAGCCTGAACTGCATACTGAAACCCTGTCTCAAAAACACACACACAAAAAATAATAAACAGATCGCTAAATACTAATATAGACATGGTATACATTATTCTAGTCAGCAAATACTAAATGCTAAATACTGTTTAACATTCTACATATTAAAGAAATAATTAAATTACTATAACCAACTTTTAATAAAAATTAGTGAACATCAAACAACTAAATGTAAAACTGTGAGTACCAATTATAAATACACAATTTCAGGGCAAGATGTCCATACAATATAGAAACATAATAAAGATATTTTAACCAACATTACGTATTCACCTATGTTTTCACACTAAACACTCCCTATATATTAAGGGATACTACAGGGTGATTAAAGGCTATTAAGAAGACCTTTAGAAGAGTAACAAAGTTTTATCCTTACTCTTGTCCCTTGTTTCTGGATGATGACACAAAGATATGCTTTGCAAATTTGCAGATGACAGAAAGTCAGGTGTGGCTACACCAACATGATTCTAAATTATTTGTAAAGGCTACAACTTTAAATAAAAATGAATGCAAAAGTCTACAAAATCAGGCTCAAAAAATATCTTGGAAGAAGGTAACCAAGGTGATAAAGAATTGAAAACATTTGGTAAAGTTTAAATATGAAGTGTCCCTCAAAGACTCATGTACCAAGGGCATTAACTCCATCAATAGTTTAACCCACTGATGAGTTCATAGCTGAATATGGTGTTAGGAAGTGGGACCTGGTTGGAGGAGGTAGGTCGCTGGGGGCATGATCTAGAACGGTATGATCTTGTTCTTGGCTCCTCCTTTTATCTCAGTCTCTTCCTTGCTCTCTCTGCTTCCTGACTACCATGGACTGAGCCTCTGCATGTCATTCCATGCTGTCTGTCTTGGAGTTGGTCAACCATGGACTGAAATCTCTGAAACCAAGGGGCAAAATAAGACTTTTCTCTAAGTTGTACATGTCAGGTACTTTGTCCAAACAGGAAAGTGACTAATACATATGTCAAGCAAGATACGGTTGGAAATTAAATTATAATAGTCTTTATACTGAAGCATTGCTAAGAAGGATGGAATGAAGGAAGACTATAAAATAGGTTCTGTGCCACATGCACTACTATAAATGCAATGTGTGAGATTACTGGGGCCTAAGCTAAAGTACCAATAATAGAAGTACAGAGGAGAGTATACTGTAAAAGATACTGATAAGTAAAAATCCAAGAGTTTTAAATTCAAATATAAAATGTCAATTTTATGGTAGATGCTATATTGGTGGAAAAACAGAGGAAGACAAAAATGAAAATAGTTAATCCAGTTAAGATTCAATCCTTATTTTAAGATTTTAAGATCCATCAAGTATGACTGACCAATAAACACCTAAAATATAATGTTAAGAGTTTACAAAGATTTATAAAGTTCAGTTTGTTAGAGATAAGTCAGCAAATAATAATGCTAGCCAAGGAAAATGACTTTTGAGCTGTATTATTAAGGTTTTCAAGATCAGACATACAACCTGAGTTTTTTTAAGTAACTAACACAAAATGATGGGACATAAAGAATAAACAAATGAAATGCTGTAATTTTAAATGTAAAATAATTTTAGCCATGCATGGTGGAATATGCCTATAATTCTTGCTACTTGAGAGACTGGGCCAGGAAAATTGCAGGTTCCAGAGTAGCCTAGACAACTTAGCAGAAAGGGCAGAGATGTAGCTCAGGGGTAAAATGTTTGCCTAGAATGTGTAAGGCTTTGGGGTTTAATACCCAGCAAAAAAATTATAAAATAACTTTAAACATGAAAATACAATAAGACTTTTAACCGGAATGGGAAAAGAAACAGGTAGTGAAAAAGTAAAAGCAACATTTATTGAAACATTAGATGGTACCTCATAAATAGATACAATTTCAATGTGCTCGTTTTAAAAATCAAAAAATTTAATTTAAATGGAAGGAAGGAGTGTTGAAAGAAAGAAGAGAAGAAGATAAACTGGTACAGGGTAGTAAGTTCTAATAATACACATGTGTTTGGTTTGTTTTTAATACTGAGTAACTTGTTTAGTAGTAGAGGCAAATTCAGAAAAAGGCAAAAACTAAAGTCATGAATCCAGCAGAATGTATACAACAATAATAATGAACCAGACTGTACACCTACCCAAAGTATTCACATTCAAAAAGATATTTAAAGTTTATACTTGAAGTCTGAAATATATTTACAACCTGACACAAATCATGTGAAAACATTCTACTTACTTACTAGGAAGCAGTATATAGAGTAGTTAAAAGCAAAAGGCTATTCTCTTTAATGGTTTAATCAATCTTCCATTCTTACATCTGGTAATCTGAGCAACACAGTTGAGGATAGCAATACGTAATGTAACAACCACTGTTAATTCGTATTATTTTGTCTTGAAACCCTGTATCACTTTAAATGTTCTTGCTTTGATTTGTTTATGTTCATGATACTGGTATGCTGCTACTGTTCTATTTTTTCTTTGTTTCTCATTTACTACTCTCTTTAAAGTAAAAAAAAAACTAAAAAACAAAAGGCTTCTGCAGTTAGACTGCCTAGGTTCAAACCCATCTCCATTACTAATATTTGGACATTTGAGAAACTTAATTAAATTCTAGTCTTCAGTTAGTTCTTCTCTAAGACAGGAATAATAACAGTACCTGACTCAAGGTATTACAAGGATTAAACAAGATAAATACATGTAAAGTACTTATAATCGATGCCTGAAAACTAAAAAACAATAAATGTTAGCTATTTCATCCGTAGTATTATCCTCTGGGGTAAGGGGAAAAAGGGCCGTATGTATTAACGTCAAACTGCAAAGTGATTTGATTTCTATTTGTACATTTTCAAAGAGTTTCAAAACCTTTCTCTTCCCAAAATGGTTATTACCATGTAATCTTTCACTGTGACTTTTCTATCCAACAAACTTTTATTGTGTGTTTGGTTCATAGAAGGCATGAGTGCTTCCAACTAGAGAAGGCACTGACATTAACATTAGATTAACTGAGAGGTAAAATTTGAATAAAAAAGTTGGGCATACAGTAAATATGCCCGTACACCATAGTTAAGTATCCATTATAAAATATTAACTGATTTCTAAATAAACCTCCCTGCACTCTTATTCACAATGATCAGTGAACAAAATTCACCAAGCATAGAACACCATACTAAATTTCATTTAAAAAAAAAAAAAAGAACCTTAATCATCTTCCATTCTCTCCTTTTTACCTGGCAAGAGGTTGCGGAGGTTCAGATAGAGACATGTCACTACTGGAAGATGCACTTGGGGGACGTTCCTGTACTTTGTTTTCCTTGTCAGATTCTCCAGATGGCTGATACCCTGATCTGGCCTACAAGAGAAGGGTAAAAATTTATCTGAGAGCTATCACAAAGATACTCAGAGAACACATAAAATAAGTTCACTTCAGCTTCACAAAGACCAGAAAGGGAGGGATTTTTCTCCTCAAAACCAGTTCACATGCAGTTTGTGTTAAAAGTCATTGTTTTTTATTTAAACAATTATTGTAATTAATAGCAAAACCTCATCAAAAACCCAAAAAGGCATTTTATTCTAACCATATAATTAGGAAGAAATATCCTTTATAAACATCAGATTTGTTTCATCTGATTAAGTAAAAATAATATAAGACCTACCTTCTCAAGGTTGTGAGGATTTACTAAAGCTTAAGCGTGTAAGTAAAAGCTTTTAAAACAGTATGTGGTACATGGTACATACTCAATTGTTAAACATCAGCAAGATAAACTAGGATATTCCCTAACTTCAGCAAAGATCACAAAAGTATTTTATTACCATAATCTAATTATGTATTATGTACTGAGTATGTCCTCAGTGGTACAATGAAAACTAGGTAGGAATATAACTTATAGCAATGACAAGAGGAAAAGAGATTAGTAGCAATGTTGGTCAGCTCTTACTTTCTATCATATTTTTCATATTACTCTTCATATGAAATAAACTCCATAAAAAGCCATGACCATTACAAATATCACCCGAGCATATGCCTGAGTATTAGGAATAGTGTGTGATTTTAAAATACTACAATATAACAAATAAGCTGTTCCTAGCCATGTATCACACCCCTCTGGTTTCTGCTCTTACTGTTACCTGTACATCCTGTGAAACATGTTGATGAGCTGGCTCTCCAAGCAAGGTCTTTTCTAGTAGCAATTTGGAGTAAGTTTCCTGTAGTCGCCTAGCAGCTGATGGATCTGAAGGAGGTACATTTTTTGCCTTAGTAAAGGCTTCTTTCTGTTTCCGGTAAAGCTCTTGTAATCGTTTGTTCTTCTGCTCAGTAGCCTCCTTTTGAGCTTTCTTCTCTTCATTTTGCTTCCTCTTCCTCTCCTCCTGCTGTCTAACAATATACTGTCGTACCTCATCAGTATCATAGTGGCGCTTTTTGGAAATAATAGGGGGATCTTCATTAGCTGTTATTCTGTCAGGTTTTCTTTTCACTGGGCTGTGACTCCGAGGAGCTTGTACAGGTGCTAAAGGCTTCTGATTCTCTAACTCTCCAGTTTCTTGCTTTGGGGTTGGAGCTGTAGCATCCAGCTGTAGGTCATCAAGAATGCCACGAATTTCAACAGGTAGAAAGTCCTTATTTAAGGCAGTATTTTCCTCCTGCTTATTGTCTGAAAGAGTTGGAGTTGATTTCTTTATATTATTTTCAGACCGAGCTCTACTTCTTGAACGCTCTGAGGTTCGTGAAAAATGTCTATGCGAATCATCCAACCTGGTATCAGATTCTGCTCTTCCAATATGACCCCCTGCAAAGTATGAACTGTTAGTGATATATAAAATTCTGTATTTGTCCCTAATTGCACTAAGATAATCAGATAATTTCATTTTATCTCAAACTCAAATTCAACTATCTTAAATGCTTCTAAAGAGTGCTCTAAAAGCAAAGAAAATTCTTCTCTAAATTAAAAGAATTTAAATCCTCTCAAAAACCATACCTCCTTATACCTTTTTTAAATGCATCTTTTAGTATTTCCAGAAAAAAAAGACAGATCTTATGGCTGATGTGAATTTTAACATTACTATTTCTCTCTCATATGCACATTTAATGTTACTATTTCTCTCTTCCTCTTAAAAAATCAGCAACTTTTTAAGTAAAAAACATTTTGATTAGTATCAAAGAAATGGAAAACAACTTAAGAATCTTTAAAAAATGCTTTTAAAAAGCTTTGCAAAGATCAGATATCACTTGCCAATCCAAATAATAAAGGCACTGAAAATACTGACCTTTCTAAAAATTCTACATTAATTCTTTCCAGAATTACATGAAATGGCACCACATTTAGATGAATCTATCAGAGAATTTCTGAAAGCTTAATTTACATTCCTGGTGACAGAAAAAAGATTACAATTGGCCTCACATGATCACATGCATGTTTTAGTAACATCTACAAAACAAATCTTCAAATATTTTGCATCTGAGATAGGGTTTCTCCAAATTGCCCAAGCTGGCTAGAACTCAAAATCCTCACATCTCAGCCGTCAGTATAGTTGGCGTTACAGGCACACATATCACGCCTGGCTCAAATGCTCAAGTATTTTTTTAAAAAGTTACTTTGTATATAGTATTTTACCTCACTTCAGAGAAAAAGGGCAAATTTCAGTGAGAGGCATACGATATACATGTTACCTTCTATTAGAATGCCTCCTCCAAGTGACTTGAGGTTTTATTTTGCTCACCCTGAAGTCCTAGAAATTAGACACTGCCTTCTCCACAGAGGGAACTTAGTAAATATTTGTTAAACAAATGTCAAGTCTCCACACCTCTCCAAAGAACAAGAGAACAAATTAAATGGAGTATGTAGAAAAATGACAATTTTATTATATAAATATTTATTGACATGACAATTTTAAAATGAGAATGCACATGAGTTTGTTTGCAAGACAGATAAAAGTGAAGAGGAACAAATATAAAATATATATTGACTTCTATTAACAAATTATAGCTGTGATTGTACTTCTTACTGAACCCATTCCAGGAACTCAAATTAAATGAGGCAAATTTTGCTGCTGGAAAAGAAAGCTAGCCTGTAGGCATTTATATTTCAGTTCTCAAAATTAGCATTTATAAAATGCTAATTTTTCTGGTTATTTCAAATAGCATTCAAGATCCTTCAAAAAGAAGCAATAGATAGGAGAGTCAAACCTAGGAGTTCAGTCAAATTTTGCCATCCAATGACTACATAACGATGAAACAAAATCTCTTCTTTTTCAGAGTTTCTTTCCTCACCTCTTTCCCTGCCAAAAAAAAAAATCCAACCTTGTGTATGTTTCTCTGTGTTTGTTTGTATATGCTGGGATCAGGTACAATAAAGATGAGTCTCTTAAGGTCCCTAAGTCTAATATGGTTTGAATAAATTAATGCTTTGATATTCACCATAGCTAAATGTAATTAATATGATTCATCTTACACAGAATTCTTAGTAAAGACACTATAACAACATGCAGAGATGACCTAGCTAAGCCCACAGAACATCTCCTTTTCTGAGTTATACCATGCTGAAGAGTACATTATTTCCTTGGACAGTTGACAGCAGCCACTCACCAAACCTAGCAATTCTCTCTCCCCTGCTTCTGTCACTTGATGCTGGTCTTCGCTCCCTCTGTTCCGCTCTGGGAGCAGGTCCCAGGATCTTCTTTACTAGTTTTTGTCCATCTCGCCAAGAAGATGTACTAATCAGACGAGTACTGCCTAAAATATATACATATTGTGTTGAATTTAAAATGTAAAATTTAGCTCTAAGAAGTGTATCTACTCAACCATTTAATTCTTATAATTAATCTTATGCTTATCTTCTGCTAAGGTCAAAAGCTTTACAATATAATTGTATTTTTATCTCTAAAACACAAACACCTGTTAACTGTTTATATCTTTGTTTAACTACATTTCTCAAATAAGTATAAATGCTTTGAAAGTTGAATATGAAATCATAATTCCTGAATCTTCAACTACCAGTGCACTGATTACAACGTTATTTGGCACAGAAGAAAACAAAATGTTTGGTTTATAAGTACACAGCACAATACACAGAATATGATAAAATATATGTTTGCTGAGCAAATGAATTACTTTAAGCACAGGAAAAATATTTTGAGGAAACACAGTGAACAGTTGATCACCTTTGAAGGGGATAGTGTAACTGAGACTTTCACATCATATTTCATAGATCTATAACATTAATTTTCTATACACAACAATATTATAAAAGCAAAGTCATCAACACTTTAAATTGTTCTCATTATGTAAGTTCAAACAATAAGTCTGTTTCAATAAATACAGCATTATTTGTGAGAAGAAAAAATATTCTCATTTACTAGTTTTAGACTATAAGAAAAATAAATTAGATGATCACCTCAAAGTAGATAGTAACCTAAAAGCAACAAAAGACATAAAAGACTATTTACAAAATAAAAACTATAAAAAGACATGTAAAGTGTTTATGCAAAGTAGCAAGAGAAATGGAATGACAATGAAGTAGCCCTTCATAAAACTAAAGTGGTGCTATATGCCTGTAATTCTAGAACTCTAGAAGGCTGAAGCAAGAGGATCGTAAGTTCAAATTCTGCTTAGGCAATTTAGCCTGACCCTGTCTCAAAATAAAAATAAAAAGAGCAGAAGATGTAGTTCACTGAACAGGCCCCAGAGACAATCGCAGTACTGTAATCAATAAATGAATTAATAAGTTAATGTAACTAACAAAAATTAAGGTTTGTTCGTTTGTTGGTTTGTTTACTGAGACAGGGTCTCACTATGCAGTTCAGACTAGTCTTAAACTCACTAAGTAGCCTAGGCTGGCCTTGAGGTAGCAGCAATCCCCCTGCCTCAGCCTCCTGAGTGCTGGGATTACAGGTGTGTGTCATCATGCCTGGCTAAAAATAATTTTTACATTAACAGCCAATGCTGATAAAATTATAATAAAACTACTACATTTTGCTTGTTGAAATGAAAGTGCACATAATTTTTTTTACAAACTATAGTATTATGTGCCAGGAACCCTAGTGCTCATTCCTCTTCATCAAATAATAAAATCAGCAGAAATTTATAAATTAAAAAAAAGTAGACATTGACTGCACCAACTTTTATATTAAAAGTAACCTAAATATTAATAAAATAGTGAATATTTACTATTTTTCTTCTAGCCACAGTATTATACAGTTATTAAAAATAGCAATCTCCCTAGGAAAAACAAAAATATTTTTCTGAAAAGATGCAAAGAGAAAGCAGTATTTTGCACGTTCAAAAGAAAGATTAGGTACACAACGATCATGGTCATATTAATCCAATTTTAAAGGTTACTGTAAGAAAATACATAAAATATTAGTAATCTGTATCAACATAGTGATTTTATCTCTTCTATTTTTTAAAATCTCTGAGACATTATTTTATTGCATTTATAATAAAAAGACATTCCACTTAAGAGTTTCTTTAAAAGGGTTTTAAGTTTAGAAGTATGGCTTTAATTAAACCATCAATTTTTAAAAGGTGAATAATAAATGTGTAAATGAAATTAAATGTTTTTGTACTTGTTAGTAACCCAAAATATTTAAAGCATTTTAAGTTATTGCTCCATCTAGTTATAGTTTATGTTCTTAAGAAAAATAAGAATTCTCTTTACCTTCCACTTAAATTTTTCAGTCAAAAATAAATAAACATGAATACATATTTATAAATGCTTGTGCTCGCTTCGGCAGCACATATATATAAATGCTGACTTCTGAATATGATGGGTGGCTATTTCTAAATTCGAGCTTTCTGAAAGTCTCATGCAGTCACTGGGGAAAGAAACCTTTCACTAGATAAACTACTAATAGAATTTCAGCACATTAAATGACTATCTAGGTCAGTGGTGGTGAGCCTATGGCACATGTGCTGCAGCAGGCTGTTTATCTTTGAAAGCTCTAAAAGATTCACCATCACTTTCTAGGTCATCCACAGTGCACACATGGGAATTAGCCTACCACAGAAATGGATAAATATGATCCAACATTAGTGCTCCAAGTTATAGTGCACCTTGTGCTTCATATCATACCATGCCCTTGGCAACACTATTATATAACAGCACATGAAAATATTCATTTTAAATATAAAAATTTAATTAACAGAGATTATTTGTGTTCCTATAAAATTTTGTTATTCTTTTATTTATGCAAAACCAGTGTCTGTCTGTCTGTCTCTTTTCTTTCTGAGACAAGGTTTCACTATGGAGCTCAGGCTGGCCTGGACTCACTATGTAACTGTTATGGTTTGTGTCTGCATGTCCCTCCAAATTCTCACGCAGTCATGGGGTGGGCTTCTAAAGTTTATGATTGATTCATGGTCCAATTTAGAATTATGGATGTGAGTGCTACACTTGCCCAGGGATGGATAGTTTGCATACAATGTCAGAGAGGGAAAGAGGCTGTCTGCCACCCCTCCTCCCTTTCACTCTTGTTGCTTTGCTGTTTCCTGAGCCATGAACTGTTGCCCTCTGCCATGTGCCACTCTGCCTTGGAGCCAGTTAAGTATGGACTGAAACCTCCACAAACTGTGAGCAAAATAAATCTTTCCTTCCTTAATTTTGGACATCAGGCATTTTGTCTCAGCAATGAGAGAAAAGTAACCAAGACAGTGGGATTAGGGGAGAGGTTTGAGACAGGGTCTCATTATGCAGTTCAGGCTGGTCTTGAACTCACTATGTAGCCCAGGCTGGCCTCAAACATGGGGATCCTCCTGTTGTAGCCTCCCAAAGTGCTGGGGTTACAGGTGTTAGCAGCACAATTCATAATAGCTATATTTTGCAAATGGTCTATACGTCCATCAATGGATGATTAAAGAAAATGTGGTATGTACACACAGTGGAGTACTATCCTGCCATAAAGAAAAATAAATTTGAGTCATCTATAGGAAAATGGATGTACCTTGTGACTGTAATGTTAAGTGAAATAAACACACAAGTTTATATATGGCATGGTCTCTCTCCTATGAGAGACCCGAAGTGTAAATAATTTAAAGGAAATAGATCTTTTGCAAAAGGGAAGGGGACCAAGAGATGGAGGAGGATAAAGGGAAGTAAAAAGAATTACAATGTGTTATACACATATACAAATTCCCCCTGACAATTGTAATCACTATGTATTGAAAATATGTATCAATAAAAAAAATTTTAAATGCCTCCAAACTCAACATGGTAAGTTCTAAACTTTATTTTTCAATATGAAAATGACATACTAAATAAACATTCAGGATAGCTAGAAATAAACAGTATGATTTTTGGTATCATAACTAACATTTGAGTGCATATCATGTGCCAGCTACTATATTGAGTGCTTTTAGTTCTCATAACAACCCTACAAAATAAATACCTCTGCTTTCCCATTTTACATATGGGGAAACTAAGGCACACTAAGGCTTACTTGTTTGCCAAAGGAATAAAGCAATTAGATATCCAGCTGATCTAAATCAAGGCTGCAATGTTAATCACTAAGGAACTATAAAATTCTTATTGTAGCTTGATCTATTCTCTGTCCAACCTGATCACTACTAGCAAGGACTGCCACAATTTGATGTGCCACATTTGTTCTCAAAGGACTCAATGACAGTCATATAAAAGGAAAAGACTCAATGAAAATCTCCTTTATATAAAATATACATGAATTTTATATAAAAGCACATAAAAGTATTTTAAGCTGGTTAATTTCTATTAAAAATGATAGAAAAAACTGAGAGTGACAGATGTATTCAGTATGTAGAATAAATGATGAACACATGGTTCCATGGAGGTATACATCCAATGACATATTCCAAATATGTACAGTTTATTCTACATCAATTATGCCTCAATACAATACACACATAATGATGATATATATAATGTACTATATTTTTATATATGACAAGCAATGAGAACATCTGGTAACAAATATTCTCATCTATATAAATTCCATTTCATTAGTATGTAACTTTAGAATGAACACAATATTGAAAACTAACTTGTTTTGCATTCTGGACTTGATAACTGTGTTACCCTTTGGACTTTTCGTACTGGCTTCACCACTTTTTTCTCTTTATTTTTTTCAGCAGGTTTCTCTTTTACAGAGATATCATCTGAAAAGCAGAAACATTTACAGCAATTATTATGATTTCTACCTACCTACTAATCCTATCCCAGTGAAAGATCAGTAATCTCCCTTTCTGTTTCGTTTTCTGTGGTTTCAGTTACTAAAGGTCAATTGCTGTCTGGTAACATTAAATGAAAAATTTCAGCAATTGACAATTCAAAAGTTTAAGTTGTGCATCATTCTGAGCAGGATGAATCTTCCACCATCTAGCTCCATTGAGTCCAGAGTGGGTCAGCCCTTTGTTCAGCACATCCTCACTGCATGTACTCACTCACTCATTAGTTGCCCATTAGTCATTCAGTAGCTGTCTTAGCTAAGAGCTCAGTTGTGACTGTTGTATCATACAGCTTCTGTTTACATGAACAGTAACAGCCCCAAAGCTCAAAAATGATGATGCTGCAATTTGGACATGCCAAAGAAAAGCTATAAAGTGCTTCGAATTAAGTGAAAAGGTGAAAGCTGCTGACTTAATAAGGAAAAAATTGTATGGTAAAGTTGCTAAATCTATGGTAAATTACTGTTGTTAATCTTTTACTGTGTCTAAATGTGTAAATTCAACTTTATAATAAGTATATATAGGGAAAATTAAAGTATAAATAGTATTCCATTCCATTTGCAGATTTAGACATCTTCTGGAGGTTCTGGAATGTATCATCAGTGAATAAAGAGGGAAATACTGTATAAAGCTCATGATTCAGGTAGGGAAAAGAAATTTTCACTGAGGCTGTTTCTATGACCAACAAGTCACCAATGTCAACTCCTTTCATGGAAAGCTCTGAAGAGTATTATTACTCCACTGCTAGGTTCCAGTTCTTTAGTTTTTCTTCTTCTGAAAATCCTTGAGAAATTTATCTCATTTTCACAAATGGACAAAAAAGCTGTAACAGCAATGGTTTCAAAGCCAAGATCACTATATATATCATATTTCAGAAGTGAAAACTTTCACAGATTCATTTAAAAGTTTCTACATAAGACACTTTACAGAACAATCAGTATTTTATATAGATAGATATAGATATAGATATAGATATAGATATAGATATAGATATAGATTTGCGGGGGGTGGGGTGTTGTTTTTGGCAGTACTAGGGATAGAAGCCAGAAAGCCAGGGCCTCCCCACTGAGCTACATCCCCAGCCCCTAGTTTATTTTAAAGTTTCACTACACTTGCTAAGCTGCCCAACCTGGACTTGAACTTGCCATACTCCTGCCTCAGTTTCCCAGAGTAAGGAAATTACAGGCCACAAAATGTCATTGGTAAAATCCCTCTGGGGACTTACTACATAGACCTCAGGATTTAGTCAGATAAACTTGGTTTTGAATATTGGTTTCACTTCTTTAATCTGTGCAACCTTGGGAAAATTACTCTTTGGGATTCCATTTCCTCAACGGTAAAATTTACAAAATTAAGTACCCAGTATCTTACCCAACATTATACTCCTATTTCTAATCCTATAACTTTATCACTCCCTATAATGCTTACTTTTCTTTCCTTGGTGCTTGGCAAATTGCCACTTCAAAGACTTCAAAGGCCTAGCAGAAATAAACTTCAGCTAGAATCTATGTTCCCTTTAACTCAGGCAGTTCCTACTCCAAAAGTCCAATAGTTTAAAAATAGCCTGGTTAATGTCTCATTGTCCAGGTAGGCTAATTTGAACCTCAGGGCACAGCCTAGAGGCTAAAAACCTTAGAACTGAAACCACTACTATTTCAGTATACAATGCAGTTACAAAGGGAAAATCTTTAATGTGGAGATAAATAATTTCCTATTTAAATATGAATTTATTAGTATTATTAATTGGATGGCATGCATGATAAGATACTGAAAACACATAAAATCTCTAGTCTCACCTGCAAAATGAAGTGCCAAGTCTCGGTACAGTTCTCTACTCATAGTTTGAAACTCAGCCTCTTGCCACACTTTCCCATCGGGTGTTCGAATCTTGGTCTCTGAAGGGTTGAAACCTAGAATACATCAACAATATAGAATATTCATATTAAAGTTGCTTTATATGTTTTGTTTATTGTACCCTTTTTCTTCTTCGTTTTTTGTGGTATATACTGGGGATTGGACCCAGGGTCTTTACACTGAGCTATATCCCCTGCTGGTTTTTTTCATTTTGAGACAGTTTCACTGTCTGGGCGGGGCTTGAACTTTAAGCTTTAAGTCCATCTGCCTCCCACATGCTGGGATTACAGGTATGTGCCATCATGCCCAGATGTATACTTTTTTTAAGTGAGATAAGTTTACATACTATAAATCTCACCCTTTTAAACGTGTGCAACACACCAGATTTTAGTATAGTTACTAAGTTGTACAACTATCATTACCTAACTCTAGAGTATTTCATCACGATGAAAAGAAACCCCATATCTATTAAGAGTCACTCCTGTGCTCTTTCTCCCTCCCTCTCCCTCCTTCCCTCCCTCCGCCTCTCCTTCCTTCCCTTCTCATTGCTTTTGCTGTCTTCCACTGCTATGAACTACCATATCCCAGCCTGCCTTGGAGCCAGCCAATTGTGGACTTAAACCTCTACCAACTGTGAACTAAACAAACCTTTCCTCTTTTAACTCTGAGTATCAGGTATTTTGTCTTAGCAACAAGAAAAGTAACTAAGACGGGGAACAGACAGACACTGATGTGATCAGAGCCTGTGGATGGACAGTGAATCATCCATACCCAGCAAGCTCAGGCCTATGTGAATCTGGCATTCTTAGGCTTCTCCATCTCTTAAGATCATTCTTGTTTTTCTCCTGCCCAAAATCGGCCCAAACCTCATCCCAGCACTCCTCAGGCTGCAGTTAGCTTGGTCCATGTGCCCTGCTCCTAAGGACTCTTCTTGTCATTAAAAGGTGCTTTCCCTATTACAACACCATCAGGTGAGGAGGGAGCCTGTTCGCCTAATTTAGACCCCAGAAGGTGGTGCAACTGGTTTTGGGGCAGGGAGCTGTCAGTGCTTATTGTCCCTCAGTATCTGTCTCAGTTTGCCTGTCTCCCTTGCAAATAAATACCACCAACTTTTAATTGTGCTTCTTTGATTGCTCTTTTTGAATCTTACACTAAACCTTGACTTTCTCCTCCTGTTCTCTGTCTCTCACCTATAGCTCAGTTCATGAACTTAATTCCTTCCACAATTCTGGGAAAGGATGTGGTCTTCTTTTTTTTTATCTTTTGAGACAGGGTCTCGTTAGGCAGTTCAGGCTGGCTTTGAGCTCACTCTGTAGCCCAGGCCGGCCTTGAATTCGCAACAATCTTCCTGCCTCAGCCTCCCAAGTGCTGGGATTACAGGCGTGCATCACAACACCCAGCAGGATGTGGTCATTCTTGTCACCTAATGTGGTACTCCCAAATGGAAACAAAATTTTGGCAAAACCTTCTGTTTGTGAACTGAATTGTTCGTGAACAGAGCACTGGTGCTTGAGGTAAACAGGTGTCTTCTAAATGCAAGCTAGATATATGTAGCTCTGTGTCTACTCTTCACTTATTTACACAGATATAAACTAATTTGTATCTACAGATTTTTCAAATTTTTTTTATTTTCACCAACTACTATGAGATGAGGAAGTTGAGATTAAGTCAGATTGCCACAAATCACGGAATGACAAAGCCAGTGGTTGCTCTCTACACCAAAGCATGTGCTTTTCCTACTCATGTACCTCAGGAAGGAATTAAAAAAAAAAAAGTCACTCCCCACATGACCTCCTCCATTCCTGACAACTACTAATCTTCTATCTTTATAGATTTATCCATTCTGGACATTTCACATAAATGGGATTGTACAATATGTGGTCTTTTGTGTCTTGCTCATTTCACATAGTAGTTTTCAAAGTGGAATCATTATGTGACATGTATCACGACTTCATTTCTTTTTAGTGACAAGTGATACTCCATTATACAGATATAATTTTTTTATCCATTCATCCATTGATGGATGTCTGGGTAGTTTTTACTTCGGAGCTATTATTAACAATGCTGCTATGAACATTCTTATACAAGTTTGTGTGTGGACATATTTTTAATTCCCCAGAACATTATATATAGAAATCAAATGCTGGGTCATCATCATAACTAACTTTTTGAGAAACTGTTAAATGTTTTTCTGAAGCAATAGTACCATTTAACACTATCACTTGCAAATGTAAGGATTTCAATTTCTCCTCAGTACTTATTATCATCTTTTTTATTATAGCCACTCTAATAGACATACAGTAGAATCTCATTGTAGTTTTGACTTGCATTTCCCTGATAACTAATGATGTTGAGCAACTTTCAGCTTCTACAAGAATGCATAGTTACCTACCACATGGCAGTGAGGAAAAGCATCAGTGAAATAAACAAAATATGCATCTATTCAAAGAATAAGACTAGAAATGGAAAAGCACTACATTAAATGATAAAAGAATGTCAATCATAAATTATAGATTTCAGAAAGACAAACTACCATTCTCAAGAATAACATAAAGACAACATTACTGTTTCTTCCTGTCTTTGAAGACAGACATTAGTTGCTACCCTTGTCTGTTTAGATTTTATCTAAAGAGAGGGTTTCACTAAATGCCCTTAAAAAAATTCTGTGTGTTTCTGCCTCTGGTGGAACAAATGGATAAGCTGTACTTTATATAGGCAAAACTTGCCCAAAGTATGAAAAATGGTATTTAAAATATACATGTTTGGGGCTACAGTTGTATGTGGCTCAGTGGTACAGCACTTGCCTAACATGTACAAGGCTCTGGATTCAATACCCAGCACCACAAAAACAAAACAAAAATGTTCAATTTTTCAAGAAACATGACACATGTGCCATTTTTAAGGAATTAGTATTCTGATTTTCCACTTCAAATTTATCACTATTATTTAAGAAATGTAATGAATTTTAAGTGCTATCTTACAAACTAATAAAATAATGAATATAGATGATAACCAAAGTAGTATACATATTTATATTTTAAGATGGGATCAGCATATCAAAAAATGGGCAACCAATATTTGTAGAATTAAGTCAATACAAAATAACAGGCTGGAAACCAAAATTGGTAAAGCCCTTTACAGGTATCAGATAAAATATAGTAGAAGTTTACTATGCCGTATCCAAAATGTTTGAAACCAAAAGTGTCTTAGATTTTAGATTTGTTGGATTTTGAAATATTTATTAGTACATAGTAAGATAATTTGGGAAAGAAACTCCAATGTAAACATCAAATTCATTTGTTTCATATGCTCTACATACAATGCCTATATACAGTCTGAAGTTATTTTATACACTCTTAATAATTTTGTACATGAAAAAAGTTTGCATACATTGAACCGTCAGAAAGCAAAGATGTCAGCATTTCATGAAAAATCTGTGGTTGTTTGGTATCACCATCATTACTGACTGAATTTATATGCTACTGATGAACAATCATTTTCCTGTATGTATTTCCACATAAGTACTTAACAGTAAAAAATCTGACACACTGCACATGCCAGTAATCTCCCCTTGGGATGGTGAAGCCACAGAATCAGTAGTTTGAGGCCAGTCTAAGCAACTTATACAGACAAAACAAAATTTTAAAAAGCACTGAGGTTGTAGCTCTGCACCTTCTGGGTTCAATCCCTAGTACTGTAAGAAAAAACAAACCTGACATGTCATTAATACACTGAAAAAAATTACGTGTTCAGGGTAACTAAGCAACATAGAACTATAACTAGAATCTGCACATCAATTGTTAAACAACAGCTTTTAGTCCACTGATGTTTTAAAAGTTACTATACACTGCATTTTTTGTTGTTGTTGAGAAGAAATACCAAGAGCATTTTAGGAACCAGGAAGTGGATCCTCTAGGAATGAAGAAGCATTCGCATAGATGGCTATTTAAAAATGTTTTCTAGCTGGGCATGGTGATGCATGCCTTGTATCAGCATACAGAACTGCTGTGAGTTCAAGGCCAGCCTGGACTACACAGCAAGACCCTGTTTCAAAAACAATTTTTTAATTAAAAAAATAAATTAGGGGCTGGGGATTTAGCTCAGCGGCAAAAGCGCCTGCCTGGCAAGCGCAAGGTCGTGAGTTCGGTTCCTGGTACCGGAGAAAAACCCAAAAAAAAAAAAACAAAACAAAAAAATAAATTAAAAATGTTTTCTCCAAAGTCACTGGCCTCTTCAGCAACCATTTTTGTCCTAGAAATCTTAAATTTTAGAAATTGACATGATTTCTTATTCTGTTATGAATGCTCTGAAATCTTTCAATAAGCCCATCACACATGTTCCCCAGGTCATGTCATCATCACAACTGTATCTTTTTTTTTTTTTTGAGACAGGGTCTCACTATACAGCTCAGGCTGACCTTGAACTCACTTATGTGGCCCAGGCTGGCCTCGAACTCACAACGATCCTCCTACCTCAGCCTCCCAAGGTCTGGGATTACAGGCAAGCACCACCACACCCAGCTTATCACTATCACCTTGATTTGGAATCATTTCAGCTGTTTCATCACTGGTCATTACTAATATTAAAAACTTTTCCAACCAGGCATGTTGGCATACACCCGTAATCCCAGCACTCGGGAGACTGGGCAGGAAGATCATTGAGAGTTTCAGGCCAACCTGGGCTACACAGGGAGACTTTCTCAAAAAAAAAAAAAAAAAAAAAAAAAAAAAAAAAAAAAACCAAAGAAACAAAAACAAAAACTTCTCCAATATCTACATTTTCCAGGTTACTGACAGACTCTAAAGGTACATTTTTTGTGTATGTAAGGAAGTCAGACATCTTTTTATTTTCTCTTAACATACAGAATCCTTCAAATTCACCACCTTGTTCATTATAATTCCTGACCACTGTCACAGGCCAGCGATCGTGCCAAGCATGCACAACTGTATGCTTAGTCACTGAGTTCCAACTAGCAGCAACAGCATAAATAGCATCCTTCATGTTAAATTCCTTTTAAAAACTTTCTACATCCACACTTCTGTTCACTTCTGCTATC